GAAAAAGCAAAGCTGAACCGAAAAAGCCAAAACCACGAGTCGAAGTTGCCCTAAGACAAAGCACCATAACCCGTTACCAAAGCTGCATTCTGCAAATGCATGTTAGAAGTACACACACGTCCCGAACATGTCATTGTGGATATGGCAAAAGGAGAATCAGGGTGGAGCATGCTGGCAGGAATATACCTCGCACCGTCTCACTGTTGGTGGCAGGGCATTTTTGCTAGCTTTGCTGTTGCATGTTCGAGGCGAGGCCCCGTGGGGAGGCAGTGTGAGAATGCATCAATAGAGCAACTGCGATGCAACTCGAATTTAAGTTGGGCTTCTTTCATCTCTGCCCCAAAGCACCCAACCCTAGAGAAAACCATGGCCCGAACAGCTCTAAACAAAGCCCATGAGCCCTTAGCCTAAGCCCGAACTCCCTGAACCTCAAAACTCTAAAACCCCAAAGCTCTGATCTCTCGATGCACCGGAGTTGCTGTGGTTTGTTGAGCAGTTTCTCCTTCATCTCCCTTGGCTTAGGTGCTTCTGTTCAAGGTTTCGGGGATTGGGGGAGGTAGATCTTTCAGGGGGCAGGGAAGTTGGGTGTCTACAGTTTAAAGGGCTTCAGAAATTTTGCTTGTTTTGTGGCAAAGGAAGTGTGTCAGTGTGGTGTTTCGAGTTTAGAGACTGTCTGTTCAGGGTTTGCAGTTTAGTAGGCTGAAATAACGCGGGGTCTCGATGTGCGCCTCGAGTTACGTCCTAAACCCCTGAACCCCAAATTTCATGCCCCATGAACGCCCTTTACCCCCACCCCACCCACCCCAACAGTGCCCGCGCTGAATGTGCTACACGAAATGACAGCGGAGTTTTGGAGCCCATACGCCCAGAGCTGGTGACCGGAAGCACTTTTATTTTCTAGCAACTGTATTCCGTCATAGGGTTTAAGGTTTAGGGTTATAGGGTTCACAATGTACCCGAAAACCCTACTCTAGCTCCACAATCTACAGGCCCCGAAACCCTAAACCCTGAACCCTAAACTCTAAACCCTAAACCCTACACCCCCAGACCTTAAACCCTTAACCCTGAACCCGAAACCCTAAACCCTATAAGCCCTAAACTCCTAAGCCCTAAACCCCTAAACCCCTAAAACCTAAACCCTAAGCTCTAAACCCCCAAACCCCAAAACCCTATAAGCCCTAAACCCCTAAGCCCTAAACCCCTAAACCCCTAAAACCTAAACCCTAAACCCTGAACCCCTCAGCCCTGAACCCTATTTTGGCAGAAGGGTCCGCGCAGGAGATCCTCCAAGAGCTGGTGAAGGTCTTTGCAGAGCCGGGAGCCGGCGTCAAAGAGGCTCTTGAGCACCAGGGTTGAGGGGATTAGGGCTTTAGGGTTTTTAGGGTTTAGGGGTGTAGGGTTTTAGGTTTTAGGGTTTAGGGGTGTAGGGTTAGGGGTGTAGGGTTTGCAGGGTTTTAGGGTTTAGGGGTGTAGGGTTTTAGGGTTTTAGGGTTTTAGGTTTAGGGGTGTAGGGTTTTAGGGTTGGGGGTTTTAGGGCTTAGGGGTTTAGGGTTTAGGGGTGTAGGGTTTTAGGGTTTAGGGGTTGAGGGTTTAGGGGTGTAGGGTTTTAGGGTTTGGGGGTTGAGGGGTTTAGGGGTTTAGGGTCTAGGGTTTCAGGGATTCAGGGTTTAGGGTTTAAAGTTTAGGGTTTACCTTTCATGAGCTTGTAAGGTTGCCCTGACATCTATCTGCTGGCGTATCTATCTGCTGATCAACATCTCTAATATTATGAATAAACACACACATGCACAGAGACAGACACACACACAACACACACAACACACACAACACACACAACACACACAACACACACAACACACACAACACACACAACACACACACATACACACATCCATCTTTCCACCCATCCATGCATCCATACATACGCACATGCAGCCCTAGCAGCAGCGGCGGCGGCGGCGGCAGCAGCAGCAGCAACAGCAATAACAGCAACAGCAACAACAACGAACAACAAGAACGACGACGACGACGACGACGACAACGACAACGACAACGACAACAACACCAACAACAACAACAATCAACAACAACAACAACAACAACAACAGCAACAGCAACAGCAACAGCAACAGGAACAGGAACAGGAACAGCAACAGCAACAGCAAAAAGCGACAGAAACAGCAAAGCAACAGCAAAAGCAACAGCAGCAACAAAAACAACAATTCCTCCTGCTCCTGCTGCTCCTCCTGCTGCTGCTGCTATCCCTACTCCTCCTCCTACTACTCCTCCTATTCCTCTCCTCGTACTCCTGCTCCTGCTCTTGCTCCTGCTCCTCGTCCTCCTGCTGCTACCATGACGACGACAACAACAACTACTACAACTGCCAGTTCTGCTCCTACCACCACCACCACGGAGACGACTACCACTACTACTGCTACGACGACGACAACGACGACGATTGCGACTGCGGCTACGACTAGGACTACGACTACTACTATGGTGACGACGACTACTACTACTACTACTACAACTACTACAACAACTACTACTACTACTACTACTACTGCTACAAGTAGTACTACGACGACGACGACGACTACTACTACTGCTACTACTATTATTACTACTACTACTACTACGACTACGACTACGACTACGACTTCTACTACTGCTACTACTACTACTACTACTACTGCTACTACTACTACTACTACTGCTACTACTACTACTACTACTACTATTACTACTACTACTACTACTACTACTACTGCTATTACAGGTACTGCTGCTACCACTGCTACCACTGCTACTACTGCTACTACTGCTACCACTTCTACCAAAACTACCACTGCTATACTGCCACTAGTGCTGGTACTGCTACTCCTCCTCCTGCTGCAGTTACTGCTGCTGCCACCGCCACGGCCACCACCATTGCCACCAGTGTGTCTAATATTTTTATGTTTTCTGAATTCGTCTACTCTTTCGATTGATCTTGCTTGTGCTTGTGCCCGATGTAGGTTTAGGCGCAATATGGCCCAGTATCCTTAAACCTTAAAGCGCTGAGCCCTAAGCCATAAAGCGCCGAACACCAAACCCCGAGACCCGACTGTAAGCCTCTCCTTCACAACCGGTTTACAACCCTTTAGAAGCCTTAATACGCTGTTGAACCGTCCGCGGGACTTCCCACAAACCCCTACGAAACCTGTAAAGAACACAAAAATCCGGCAAAACCATTTGTAGGACCTCCCGGCGCTTCGGCAGCAGCTGGAGCGTCATTTGCAGTCCCTCGAGCAAGAGCTCCAGGACCCGCCCTTCAGACAGATTATATAGGGGCTTTATTAGTTACCTAAACTATTTTGGGGGCTCCTTAGAAAAATTTTGCTAGAATATACCCCAAAACCCTACGCTAAATATTTTTGCCCCTACATTAGAGTCTTGCATGCCACTAGAAGGGTTTCATGGGGCTTTTACTACGATGATTACAGTGCATTCTAAAGGTGGCTTTTGCATGTGGAACTCGGGTAGCTTAATTAGGGGTCCTTGTAGTAAGGATCCTATTACTTGTTTGCTGAATTGGGGTATCTGATTTTTGACATTATCGGATTACTGTACTTGTTGAAGGGGTTTGGCAGTCTGGGGGCTTTTCTTAGCAGGGTGATTCCCTAAGTCACCGGCATGGATGTTGGCGCATTTCGTTGCTTCTGGTGAGTCGGCAGGGCTTTGGGCGTGATCAAAGAAGAGCATGTCGCCTGCACAGGTATCATTCGGGTGGCGATTCTCTAACGTACGGTACTACTACTCTGTTGGGAATTCAGAGTAACCCCAGTTTAGAAAACTACGCGTGTGGCAGGTGCACTAGCTTGGTGTGTTCGGTGTGGGGGGTTTGGGCGATCCCTGGGTAGAGGCAGAACCCAACACTTAAAACCCCTACAGGCGAGCTTTTCGTGTCAAGTCTTCTCACGTGAAAGTATTCGGAACAAGAGAGAGGTGACCGAAAATTGCTCTTGCAGAGCGGAGGCTTGAGAATAGGGTTTAGAGGGAATTTCGGGGGCTGTCAGGATCGAATCCTTGCTGGCGACCGCGAATCCATCGACACAGCGAGCATTTTGACTGCAGCTGTAGCAGAGTTTTGCCTTCAAGGTGATGCGGCAAGCTTTTGAGACGGAGAGTTCGGCGCAGGTATGTCGTCCATCATATGTATGTGTATTTATATATATATACACAGACACGCCTACACATATATATATATATATGTATATATGTATATGCATATGTATATGTATATGTATATGTGTTAAGTATCTACATGTGCGTGTCAACGCACGCACCCTCTCGTTCTTCTCTCCATATATACATTGTTTATTACACATCACTACTGTGTGTCACATGGTGAGCCCTCCTCAACCTAGTTTGAAGCCCAGCTCTGATTGATAGTTCGTCACTAGCGAAGAACCGACAGTCGAGGGAACACGCGGAGACCCAATCGGAGTCTTCTCTGGGGAAGATCCTTAGTACAAGGACCGCAAGATCAGGGACCCTGAATGTGTTCAAACACCGGTACTTTAGAGGCCGGAGTAGCTACCAGCGCTACTTCCTTCGGGCTCACATGATGCAAAAAAACCCAAAACTCAACTCGGACCCCAAACCCTAAACCTTAAACCCTAAACCCTAAACCTCAAACCCTATAAGCCCTAAATTTTCTGGCCTCTACGGTATGGCCGATGCCCTTCAGTTGCAGCACCTCTTGGCAGCGAAGTCCACGAGGCCGACCCCCCAGAACCGATGAGACCGTCAGTAGAAGTAGGGTTTGTGGTTTAGGGGTTTAGGGTTTAGGGTTTCGGGTTTAGGGGTTTCGGGGTTTAGGGGTTTAGCGTTTAGGGGTTCAGGGTTTAGGGTCTAGGGTTTATGGTATTGCAACTCTGATGGCCATCAGTGGTCATGAAATCCTACCAAGATTCCGCGAAGTAGCCGGCAGCATTGAAGGCAAGACGAGGAGCGACATGCGAAAGAGTTTGGAGAAGATCATGTCCGAAGCTGCTACTCTCCGGTCCTTGGTGGTCTACTCGCGACAGAGCCTCCGCAAAAGCTTAGAGCACAAACACCAAAGCCTCCAAAGGTGCCGAGCTCCGTGTTCTTATCCTGGTAGGATTTCTTTAACGATTCCAAAGAGGTTCTGGGTTCTTGATAGGATTTGGGGTTTTACGGTTCCCTGACATTGTGCTTCGGGCCGACGCTCAGGGCGTAGGGTGTGAGTCTAGGGAGTATTCTTGCTGATGCCACCATGAAAGGATCTCCCGGGTTGGGCGGACGGAGAAGAACACGGCGCTAGCGGATGCGAGGCTTTTGGATGACATCAAGAATCTGCAGGTCTCGCGTCGGCTGATGCGCAAGATGAAGCGGCAGGAAAGGGAGCAGAAGAGGCTCCTTAAAGACGAAATGAACCCTAAAAGGGTTTAAGGTTCACATACCATATAGGGATTCATAGTATAAGGCTATAGGGCCCCTTTCGTCCTTAAGGCTGGAGGCTGGCAAGCCGCCTCTGCGAAGGCGTCGACCGCGGAATGCAGGAGGCAGTGGCAAAGGAAGCAGAGTGAACAGCAAGGGACGCAGTTCCAGCAAGACGAAGAAGGAGGACCAGGAGGACTCCGACCTGCAAATCCTCACGAAATGCTTCAAAGATCATTAACGGGCCTGGGAGTCATAATGAGAGCAACAGCCAACTAGTGTTCAAGCCCCAACCTCTACTTGGAGGGTCGGGGGACTTAGTAAGTAGGTGATAAGCAGAGTTATAAGTACAGTAAAAGGGACCCTATTTGGGGTTTTTGATACTTACAACTCTATATAATAGCTACTTACTAAGTCCCCCGACCCTCCAAGCAAACCCTAAACCCTTAACCCTAAACCCTAAACCATAAACCCTAAGAAGGAGCAAGCAGATGCCAGCAGCTCTTCGAGTTCTAGCAGCGACACCTCTGGCAGCAGCAGCGAAGATGATCCACAGATGCATGTTAATAATGTAGGGGCCTTAAATACTTAGAATAGAGTATAATAGAGTTTGGGGGGTATGTATGTATATATACATATATATATATACATATATATATATACATATATATATATACATATATATATATATATACATATATATATATACACTAGAAATATAATAAGGAACCCCCAAAACCCTACTCCAATTAATAAGGTCACTAAATTGCTTGGATTAAGGTTCTATGGCTCAGGATTGAAAGGCCGTTTTGGATGTTGCTGAGTCTGAAGGTCCGGGCATCGAAAGCGCAAGGGTCTTGCAATTTTAGGGTTTAGGGTTTAGGGTTTAGGAGTCCGGGGTGCCTACGAATCCTTATTGCCGCATGATTTGCGTTGCTGCCTTCTGCAGCCTTGCTACAAAAGTCTACTACAACGATGACCGAGGATTATTCCGACAGCGAAGGGGATGAGAGCGAGGATCAAACGGACGACGAGAGTGTGCAGGTGGAGGAGGGTCCACAAGAGGACGCCGGTCCGGTGGCGGTGTTTTGGGCTTAGCTGAAATTCCTTGAGTTGACAAATACCGGCGAATGCTGCAACAATAGGTACAGTACCCTCAAGGCGACCCCGAAATAAACCCCTGTAAAAAGAACTGAATAACCCCTTAAAGTCATTTCGATTTGGACAAAGCCTATGCAGAGGACCCCATGCAAGATGCTGACGTCTTCGACAGCTGCCGAGCTGAGACTTCGGTTGCCAGTAGTTTTACGCAGGTCCAGGCCGAGATCACACGGGGTAGCACTTATGCTGGCGAAGCCCGAAACGCCATCTCCGAACCCGGGACACCTTCGAAGTAGCATTGCTTGGAGCATCCGCAGTAAATTTGAGAAGTTAGGAGAGCGTCGCCACGCCCCTGACGCTGGGTGAAAGCACAGAATGTCCAGACGATGCACAGCGCGCTACGCCCTTGGACATCGGCGTGACACCCCCGCTTCTGACTCTGGGACTTCTTGAGGTCTTTCCATGTTTAGGGTTTAGGGTTTTAGCTTTTGCTTATTTTCTTCGATTAATGTTTGTGGGCCTAGGGTAAGGTGACTTGAGCAGAGAATTGGTTGATGATAAGAGTAGTCTGCATTCCATGGGTAAAAGGCGCAGGATGAGGGCCGATTGGCCAGAGACTGGAGTCAATGAGTGTATGCCCTTCCTAAAGAACCTACCTTTTTCGGGTTCCTTAACTATTATGAATTCTTTATATGAGTCCTTAAAAAGCTAGGTTTTTTGGGGTTAAGGTTGTCTGATGAAACCATCCCTCCCCACCCCCACCCGCAGGATTGCTGGCGCTGGGATGATGTCGAGGGACGGTGTTGATTGATTACCGGTCACAACTGAAACCTCTGAAACCTTATAAGTTTAAAAGGACTATTTTCTTTTTTCAAAGCCAACTCCCGAACGCTAAACCCTAGTTAGAAGCTAAAGGAACAACTGGGCTCTCTTAGATGGTCCTTGCGCTCTCGACCGAGGCCGCTCCCTGAAGAGCAAAGGGACACAGACACCGAGCCCTCTGAAATCCTCCCCATTCGCACGGTGAGTGGCATCTCGGCCCTGGTTTGGGTAACATGGGTGTCTAGAGGATTACCAATACTATGTTGGGCGTTCCTTACTCTAATTATACTATCATATACCAAAGCGCTGTTCTAATTTTTAAGGCCCCTATGGTAGAGAGGTTAGAGGTCAACTTGGGGCTGATAGGTTTTGCAGGGTTTGCAGGGCATGAAATTTGGGTTCTGCTTGGAGGTTCATGGGCAGTTATAAGAATGGGTTATAAGTATAGTTAGCCTACTTATAACCCTACTTGTAACTACCCATGAACCTCCAAGTGCAGCTCAATGACATGGGGGATTTGATATCTCAGTTGAGTTGCACAGCTCGGACACGACAGTTTGAGTTTTCCGGTGGTTGTACGTTCAGTCAGTGTGATTGTAAAACTTTGGATGATGGAGAGTCTTATTATCAGTATGTCAAGGAATGAAGCCATATAGTGTCTTGACATGTAATGGCCCCGCTTCTTTATGTGCGTAAGCACGAGTATGCGAGAGTTCAGGTGCCTCGATCTCTTTGGGACCGCAGTGGTCGCGGCTCGGTTCGAAGGCCATCACATGTGGCAAAAAAGGAGCACGTTATACCCATCCTGGATATTCTAAGACTGGAGAGTCCAGCCTTGTGGCTTGCCTTGCAGGCCAGCGTGGCAGGTGATGAGCGGCAGCTCATCGAGGAGGCTGCAGATGTGGAGGTGGGCTTCAGGGTATTTGGAGGCTTCCAAGGGCTGTGGGTCCTAAACCCTAAATAACCCTAAACCCTAAAACCTAAACCGTTTTGGGTCGGAGCCCTGAAGTCCAGGCAAAAGCTGTCGTTCACAGCAGCGTGGACTGGCAAGCCACGGTTGCTGAGTTCATGGTGGGTCGCCGTGCCGAGGACCAGGGTCAGAAATAAGCGCTACCAGCTGCTGTCTTCAGTGCCCCCCCCATTCCCCGACAAGTCCAAGATAATTAGCAAGGCTTAAACAGCCTTCAGTTTCAAGACTTTGATTCATTCTACACTCCCCTGCTACAATCGACAAGGCCGGAGGCCTGCTGAAATAACTTTGCTCTGCCTGTTGTTATCCTCCACTCAGTTAAGATTGACCATTAGCAGCATAAGCAGACAGGAACATCAAAAAGCACACCACAGCGCGCGCATGTTGGGCGCATTAGAGGATGGCGAGAAATGCAAAAAGGCGAAGAAGTCCCTGGGAGAAAACACCTCATAGACGGTCACCTAAATAGCGACAGCGCCACATGTGACACCAACACGCTGTACCAAGTCCAATAGTTAAGGCCTCTTTATTGCAGGCTCGAGGTTTCCCGAACACAGAGGGGCCGGATTCAGGGGATTTAGGGATCAGGCTGCTTGGGTTACTTTGCAGTTGAGTGTGTGCAACGTGACCGTGTCACCCCAGGCTAGGACAGCTTGCGTTCGGGCTTCGGGCGGACCAGGACTACTTGGTCCTGGATCGCGACCAGCTGGTCGTGCCCATGTTCGCTGAAGATTGGACCCAGCAGCTGCACTCAACTGTGGAATTCCCCGTCACCATCCAGCATCGCGAGGTCGCGGGGGCCGTGGGATTTTTGCTGTTCGGCTCGCAGCGGGCTCTGGAGAAGGTATTTTATGGGTAGCGCGATCGATTCGTAAGCTCTTGGGTGTGGCTTCCAGCAACATGATGTTGATCGGTGATTACGCTCAGGAAGCCCTTAGCCTTTAAAACTTTAAACTTCTACCCGGCAAGCGGATCTCCGGTCATGCGGCTTCTTCACACTGCACCTAATTGCAGCAGCACCTGCAGAGCACTTGGCTGTATGCTTGCAGGGATTATTTTGTTGCTGACTGCAAGAAATAGGAAAATCCGCATCCTGCTCCACGGAGGCACCTCTGGTGGTGGAGTACAGCACCCAATGGACGGAGGTGGCGAGTTGGCGCCAAAACTTGCGGAAGCTCTTACAACTAAACAGGAGCAGGACAGGCAAAACTCATGAAACCACTGTCGCAGCAATAGCCAGAATACGAAGCAAGAGCAGCCGCAGAAGCAGTAGCAGAGTTGTGTTTGGTAGCGGTAGCAGCAGTCCTCTTGCCCCCCCCCGCCCAACTTCGAACCATGGACTGTCGCGAAGCTCCTGAAACCCCGAACCCAGAGAACCCAATACCCCTTAATTAAGGAATAGGCCTTAAATTATAGGGGCCTTAAATCTTATGATTTAAGGTATATATTCCTTAATGAAGGGGTATTGGGTTCTCTGGGAAGGTGGTTGGATCGTACATGGCGGGGCGCGACCTCGAGGAATACGAGGTCTTTGACAGACATGAGGAGTTGATTCCACTCTTCGAGGAGAGCAAGGAAGCGGATTCGTTACACTTTGCAGTTCCTGGTTTGTTCTATTTTGTGCCTCGAGTTTCGGTTTTGGATGGTTTGGGGTTTTTTGGGCTGGATTGCACGTGGGGTGTGTTTCAGCGCTCTACTGCCGCTGAGAGTTTGTCGCAGGAGGTTTGGAAGCCGTCTACGCCGTTGCCAAGCTTCCCCATAAGGATCCAGCGCAAGGCCTGCTTGCCTGCTTCGGTGGTTTGAAGGTTTGGGGTTTCGGGTTTGGGGTTTAGGGTTTAGGGCTTTGTCGGGCTGTTGGGTTTCCTCTTGGGATTTTTGGGACTCCGGGTTGGATAAACGGCCCGACTCGTGCTCATGGACAAACTGCAGCATCCCTTTAAAACGCCGTGCAATGATTCCAATAGTTTACCCATAGGCTCCATAGTAGTTCCTTTTTGCGGCTTACCTTATAGAATCCCAAATAACAGCCCCCAAAAGGAACTGCTATGGAGCCTATGGGTAGGCTTCAATGATTTGGAGAGGGTCTGACTCTCTCCTGCCCATTGAGCATAACTGCCCGGCACTAGGGCTCCAGCTCCCTAAATTGCGGGTTACTATTCATATTCATATACTATGTAGCCCAGCTACCCACTATTTGGGTAACCGGAGCCCGAAGCCCTAAACCCCAAAACCCTAATCTGGAAATAATCCTTGAAACACCATGCGACTGTGACTTTGCAAAGTGTCTGTTCGGCTTCTCGGTTGGTGGCCTGAACCTGCCGCTCACATGCCCAGAGAACCCAATACCCCTTAAATTAAGGAATATGCCTTAAATTATAGGGGTTCTCTGGGTGTCTCGGCAGAGCAGAGGAGTCGGCGCCAGGATCACCTAGAGGATCCAGCGCCTCAGATGCAGTGGTCCTCCTAGCGGGAAAGCCCGCAACAGCCTCGATCCCGGTGTTTAAGGTTCCAAGATACTCATTGTAAGGTTTACGGTGTGGGTCTTGCGGTCTGTTTTTCGAGGTGCCGTTTCTTCCCGAGAGGGCAGCAAGAAGAGGAGCCATGGTGCTTTCCCGCTTTGCTCCGGGTGACGCACATCCGTGGACAACGTCGTCGTTTATTGTGTTTTCATGCGCATCACGTATACAACATTGCGAAGTTTTGCAATCGCGCTGCTTTCGTTGCATTGGAACTGTACGGCCAGGACCGCACGAAATTCAATCTGGGTTGAGGCAAGAAAAAGGAGTGAAGAGATAATAACTGTCATCACCTATGCCACGCTTCAAGCCTCACCCTGATGTAGCCACGTGGATGGCATCACCGTCGCTGCCGTTGTTGCTGTCGTCGTCGTCGTCGTCGTCGTCGTCATCGTCTCGTGCTCGTCGTGTTGTTTTGGTGGGTCGGGCGGCCGCTGTCGTTGTGGTTGTACCCGAACCGAGTTTAAGCAGACTCTGCAACGATTTCAGCTATGGTAGCACAACCCTGGCAACCCTTGGCAAAAAGACTGTCAGCACCACATGGGGGTGATGGAGGTCCTTCTTCTAGCTGCCCACAAAGCATAGATCCTGCGATGTATAAATGCTACAGGACCACTGCCGCACGGCGTCGGCGGTATGGGAACGCCATCTTCCGTTGGGAGGAGCGACGGAACCGACTGACTCCCAAGCCCTACCTGGACCCTGAAGAACCTACCTTTTTAGGGTTCCTTATTCTGAATTCTNNTATAAGTCCTTGAAGAGGTAGGTTATGTGGGGTTAAGGTACCAGCTACTCTTCTCACTAGTCCCTTCTTGGCGAGGTTTCGCCCGTTTCGTGGATGCAAAGTTGTGGTTGTCAAGTTGTCAACGATTCTTCCAGCAGGGTATCTGGCCGCAATTCAACGGGTTAAGGTTCGAACAGTTTGGAAGTTGAGCTGGTTTGCGAAAAGCAGCTTGAAGCGTTCCATGCTAGACTGCTAGACACTGCCGTGGCACTGTCAGCGGACCTTGTCACCCCAAGAAGACTCTTGATTTCTATCTCAAAGCGAGCCGAACCCACACCACCGAGCGTCTGCAGAAATCGCATCCTACAAGATCTTGCAAATGAGGCTAGAAACTTTTGAGACCATTTGCGCCGGAGTGCAGGAA